AACAATAAAGAAAACACTACCATTTGCTGTTTATTATCAAGGATCAAACCACATATGGCATCAAAAAATAGTATATCGTTCTATAAATTTCACTTAATATAAGATCCAAATTACTTTTTTCAGTTATAAATCCATTTGTCAAACATGATGAACAACAAATAATAAAAAATTTGCAACCAAAGCATTGTAAATAGCGAACTTTAATACTGTAAAAATCTTAGCAATTAACCTTAATATATTGACAAGGATATTTATGATGTTAGAGTTTGTTCTCTGTAATATTTTGGTTGCAAATTTTTTTGATTATTTGTTATTGATTATGTTTGATAATGGGTATGTAACTGAAAAGAGTAATTTGCATCTTGCATTAAGTGAAAAATACAAAATGATATACTATTTTTTTGATGCTACATATGATTTGATTACTAATGATAAACAACAAATTTTAGTGTTTTTCTCTAATGTTTGGGTTGGTATTAATTTAACTAAATAATATAGTAGATGAGGGGCAATGATAGAACGATATTATCTTCTCTTTCATAATATCACTTTTTAATTACTGGTTGAACTTAAATGTTACAAATAATTAACTCAAGGTAGGTTACTGTAATTTTCGACATCTGAAGAGAGGCCAATGAAATAGTACTTAGAAGCCTCAGGGGAGTTTTCTAAAATTATCCCATTTATTTTCAACAACCTCTAGCTATATGCTTGCTAGGTTTATATTAAATGATAGCTTATTACAATTCCAACCTTCCATTTTGTTTTTACCTGTGTAATTCATTGCATAAGCTGGCAGCAACATCTCTGATTATAAATTCATGAATTATCTAAGAAATTTCATTTTTTTTCAAATTTTCTTTTCACTATTTGCATCCAAATTCCCCCTTAGTCACCAAATTTCATTGTTTCTATATAATAATTTCTCATCTCAGTATTAAAACAAGTATCTTAGTCCTGTGCCTTGCGCGAGCTTTTGCCTTAGTTTAGAAAGAACAAACTAAAAACTAATACTAGTACGAAGCGTCAAAGTCATAATCACTTGACATTGTGCAAATTCAAATCCTATAGTGAAAAAATTTGGCAAAAAAAGAAAAAGAAAAGGATAACATTTGTACCACTCTATTTTTATTTTATTTTATTCTATTTATATTTTTTATTTCTAGGTTGAGTGATACCTTGAAAGAAACTTACCTTCATGATGAACGGATATATTTCTCAACTCAAGCAACCCTCCAAAAAGAAAAAGTAAAAAAAAAAAAAAAAGGGGATCATGAAGATGAAGCAGCATAGAGATGATTATATAGCCAAATCCTTTCTTCCCAAACATACTTGAGTATCAAACTCCAAGGGTTTGATGAAATGAAAAGCAACTTTGTATTAGATATGTCCTTTCCTTACATCTCAATGCAAATTCTCGTAAGCTAATTATTTTAACTCGATGATTTCGAACTAATCATTTTACACACATAACTTATATCTAAAATTGTCAATGTAGAAATATGCTGCATCAACAGCACAAGACAACATCTTATTGTTTGGATACCATTAATATTATTCCAAATAATATTTCGCTTGCATCATAAACACATTTCCCAACTCACCTTTTTATATTCCCAACCAACTTTTTATCTCACATACATCACATCACAAAAAGTGCTACAGTAATTATTCCAAATAATATTTGAAATAATGCTCTATCCAAACAACTGCTTACAATATTAATTAAGACTCTGATCAAGAACCTATGTCTTGGTTTCTAAATTCAGACTTTCATCTTTCTCACATCAAGTTAAATTTGAAAGATTATCCTAAGATTACAAGCTAATGTATATAATTCCTTAAATCTCAAATTGGCTCGAGAGTTTCTTCATGGATCCAGAATTGGTAGGTAAATATTTTAAAGTTTTTCAACGGATGCTTGCTCAAATCAATGAAACCTTTAAGAAATCCTGTAGACCATCCCACTATACCATGTGGCTTTCGAAAAAATTTCTCATAAGCTGTTGTTTTCCAATCATAACATGGACAAATTTGCAGATGCAAATGAATCCAATGAAACTCTATCATTTCTTCCAGCCATCCCACGTACGTACGATGTAAAAGTTGGATGACGTGTCTCTAAAATTGCAAGTAGAATTCTAGCATACAACTCATGATTCAGTAATGTTGTACACCGAATTGTCGTACAACTCAATAAAAATGTAATTGAAAATACAGAAACGTGATTCGGAAAAGACGTTGATGATGCAACTAAAAACGCTTTTAGAAAAATCTGACAATCCAAACAGACACAGACCGTTGATCAACTCATTCATCACAACAATATAAGCACAGAAAATCAAAATAAAGGGCTTCTACGGTCGCAAGTGAAATTCTAGCAATGTAAGTTGAGTAAGCTCCGGAAATTAAATTAGCATTTGATAATTGTAACTCCCATAAGCATCATGTTAAATAGAAAACATTTTACAAAGTGTTACTACTACTTAAGCACGTACTTCTATTATGGATTAATGTCATACTTCTTGATGTGACAATGTATATATTGTACAATATGATGTAATAGAGTGTTATAAATGATAATTGTACAGCGGGAGCCCCATTTCCGTAGACGTGCGCCCTGCGAAGCTCTTGTGCTTGTGGTCTCACTTCTCAGAGTTAGCTATATAGGCTGCCCGTATTTTGTCAGGCAAGAGAAAGAGGATGCAGTTAGAGCCCAGAGGAGCCTAATAAGTAAATATGAAAAGGTAGGGCATCTTCTGTGCATCGTGTGCCAACTAGAGTGGGAAAACTATGCAATGACAGGTTCGCATGGGCGGGTCAATTTACATGCAGAATTTATTGCAGACAGAGAAAAGAAAGAAAAGGGCTTAAAAAATGAGGTAGTTGCAGTACAATAGTATCATCATCATCATCATTCATCAGTGAGCAAACTTGATACAGATTTGACCAAAGAATGAAAAGGGATGATGCAAAACAAAACGAAATAAACAAAGACCTGAATTATATATATATATATATATATATAGATATAGATATCAATGTCATTAACAACTCCAAAGTGGGATTAAGGGTTTCTTGATTGGACCAAATCTAGGAAAACTTGTAGGCATCAGGAACCTTGAAAAGGGGGGTTTGCTTCCTAATTGGATGCCGACTTGTTGGTTTACCTTCCAAAAAGAAGGCCATATTTTGGTTGGCTTGGTTTGGATGGTCTAATCAGACTACTGTTTGAGCAAAGTCCACAAGATTTTCTTCCCCCCCAATTGGGACCACTATGGCTGTACCAATTGGTTTCAGGCCATGTGCCATATTCGTACGACCAGCAATTTCTACTTCAAAAATTATGATGGCCTATGACACCAATCTTTCCCACAAAAACCAAAATGAACAATAAAGGCTAGTGAGAATTGATGATGCTGTTCTATCCATTTCCAACCACTTGAAAACGCCAACTGTTCTATTGGTGTACACTTTCATGAAGGTTAGACCACATATTCAGCAGATTCAGAAGCATGAATGCCCCCCTCCTTCATCTCACCATCCTTGAATTCCTCTTTTGAGTGCATGGGATTACAGGGCGGGCAACGTTTAGCTTTCTGATTTGTGCCAGCCCCACTTGAAAATTTTTGTTGGACGATACTGGGTTTTTTTTTTTTGCTTTATAAAGAAATGGATTTATAGCAACTTTTTAATATCTTTTTATAGGAAAAGTGGAGAGGCAGAGGGGGGGCAAAGAAACGAAATTGATATGGATTTTCTTGGTTCATATCATCCTACGAAAGTGATAGTAGTATTAACCTATGCATCTTGAACAACGTCTGATTTGATAGCAGTCTGCATTATTTTCACTGGGCCAGTTCTGCAATTTTGCAAAATCTCTTCTTCTCTTCTTGTAAGACTCAAAATAGTAATAATTCCTTGTGAAAGGCTGCTTTTAGAAAATTTTTCATGCCTATCTATGACTAGATTTTGACGGAAAACCAACAACGAAAATGAAGTCGGCCTTCATTTTTCTTGGTTTTATTCTTGCATCAACGTGTTTTGACTGTCAATTTTTGTACGCGCATTGCCGTAATACTCCTATCCAATTCAATGGTGACACCTTCCAAATCTACATTTCTGTTGGTTGACTTGGTTCCACACATGCATGAGAAATTAATATGCTGACACGTTCCCGTTACTCCCAATTTGGGAAATGGGAGTCACTGCTGTTGTAGTAATAAAACACGCTGTGAAAAAGGGGAAATAAAATGGTGCAAGTTTTTGAGTCTATATTTAGTGAAACTTGTATCGTATTTAAGTTAACAAACTGTTTATGTACAATGAATTACAGACGTGTGTATTAACAAAGAAGAAATCGTTTTTAGACAAATCTTGGCCATTGCTTGTTGCAAACGATCGATTGTCAGAGACAAATGTCCGTGCCCTTTACTCAACATTTGCACAAGGGGTACGAACAGTTGTCGGTCACAACTGTCTTGAACTGTATCAAAAATTTTAAAACACAATCGAGAATTTAGCGTTGTATGATTGTAAATTATCCCATAAAACCATGTGAATTTTACACTACCATGCATCATATGAGTTCCATGAATCTTGTATGGTGGTCGTTGCAACCTTTGCCAGCCTCCCTCTCCCCACCTAGAGCATCAAACACAGAGAATGCCTCCTCAACATGCACTGTCAGACTATACTTTGCAGTAGTTGTACCCACTTGCATCATCAAGGAAATTCATTCCAATCTTATGGGACTCCAATTCTCCAAATCCCCCATATCACATGTACTAATTAAGCAATTCTTGATTGTTACTCCAAATTATGTGATTTGACATAATATCTCTTTCTAGTGCAGAGCAAAGTCATACTCATATTTTAATAACAATCTATTATATATGCCATTTTAATTAAGCACTACTGATATCCAAGTTTTTAAATTCAGGGGATATTCATATACTTCTACAAATTAATGCTGAACTCTTCTTCCAAGTTCCATCATCTAAACCACACAAAAGAATGATCCTCCATTCCATTTGCTAACTAAAAATTCTCTCTGATGGGATTGGGAAACATTGGTAAACACATTGACATGGGGATCAGGGATAAAAACAAAAAAAAAAGGGAAAAAAGTGAGATTTAGATTCTCCACATTTCTCTAGCTAGCTTTGCCTAGCTGAGAACTAATCATTCAGGGAGCCCAATGACAGAGGGCCCACATTTAAAAAATATTGAACGGTCCAGATCAATGAGCTGGTGGGCCAAGGGGAGTAGGGCCAGAAACACCCACCACTGATCTTTACAGTGCCAGCACTGCTATGTGTGTGTAAAAGAGAGGAATGATCCACCTGTTTGTCTGTGATAATATCGTAGGGTTGTACATTGGTTTAGGCAATTACCAGCATGTGGGCCTCGCCACCTGAGCCAACACCTGGAGCTGATAAGGTATGGGCCCCCACCCCAGAACTGTTAACCGAGCCCATCTCTCCGATACACACTTGCACAAAAAAGAAAAAAAAAAAATCCTTTCGTCATACATGATGGAATTGGAAACTACTTGAGAGATTCACGGCAGATATTAGAATCACTGAAACCAGTTTCTTAAGCTCCTACATTTTAGTAAACCCTCCTGTTTCATTTCATTTCCCCACTCCTACATATCAATATGGTTGTGGACCTTCTTCTTCTTTTTTTTTTTTTTTTTAATTTTCTTTCCTTTTTTGGGGCTAGGGAGGAGGGTTTTTCAAGATTAAACTTTTTTTTTTCCGAACTTGGTTTTGAAAAAATAAAATAAAATAAAAATGACCGTTACCTAACTAGGTAGCTACCTTGTTGCCGACCGAATTCGGTCGAACCAAGAATTTTGAAAAGAATGACTGTGAATGGTAACTTAACTTATTCACCATACTTTTCCAAAGATTTTGGAAAGAACTACATAGATTAGTAACTTAATTTATTCACAAACTGAATGTGAAGACGCCCTAATAAAATTGTTAGAAAGAAACTTAGTTAGGGCATAAAAATGTACCATCTGAAGCTGCAAGAAGATTTCAGGAAAGAATGCTTATGATCAAGACTATATGTATACCTTCCCCGTCTGTTGCAACTACATTAACTTAACTCGCAATTGATAATGTGTTGAAACAATCATCGCAAAGAAAATGTCAAGATACAGTACTAATTAATTCATGGAGTGCTAGTTAAATGTTTGTGAAGAAGGATATCAGGAGGAAATTAAAGAATGAATGTTAGTACTATCCTCCATGTGAATATTGATACCAGTTTGTTCACACAACTAACAATGTTTAAAAGACATTTATGCAGTTAGTGAAATTCATTCGTTTACATGTATCTATTGGTGGCAGAAAAGAAGATTTGCACAAACAATGATCATAAATAAGATATTGTGCAATGAAAACCAAATGACACTTTTTGACAAAAAAAAACCAGCCAATACCACCTGTTAGAATATTGCCTTCTGCAAACCCTAAACTAAAAACTCCCATATTTAATCACACAAAAAGAGGGAAAAGAAAAAGAAGAAGAAAATTAGAGAATCTCAAAAAGCAAAGAAAACAAAAAATTCCAGTTTTTTTTTTTTTTTTTTTTTTCTCTGGAGCAAATCAAACCTCACGTGTGTTACAAATCAAACTACACACAAGTGGGGATGACGACCGACGAGTAATGATAATTGATGATTTTCAATTCCTTCTCATTTCATCCTCATGAATGGTGACTTGTGGTGTCATGCCGATCATCGCCGTGGTGCTGCGAGTGGGACCCGCTAGCCGGCGATTCCGACACCCCGCCACCACTGGAGCGGTATGGATTTAGCCCCGACAGCATTCCCAATTGAGCTTCCGCTAAACCACCATTGCCGCCGCCACCACCACTGCCACCGGTTGGACCAATACTACTCGTACCTAGTTGTTGACTAGGCAATAGTGCCACCGGGGTAGGAAAATTCATAAAATGCAACCCACTAGACATACTCCCTCTATACAAAGCAGCGGCTGCAGCGGCACTATTATTAACATTTGGAAATGTCCATATCGGGTCATGGCCTCCCATAACCTGATTACTCGAATTCGCCTGAACCATCCAAAAGTTGGCCGGAATCGACGCGTGGCTGGCCGGCATCGCCCCCGTACTGGACTGTAACAAATAGTTCCCGATATTTTGCTGCTGATGGTGTTGGAGTTCTTGGTCGTTTCTTCTTTTTCTGGCAAGAGGGCTCTCTTCTCCAGCTGCTGCTGCTGCAGCTGCATCACTCAAATCTAGGGTATTGTGGGTGTTGTTTTCTCTCAACTCCTGCTTCGCCTGGAGCATACCACTAGGGTTTATATTGCCAGATTGGAAGTTCAACAACGTTGTTGTAGACGGAGAATTGTCGGTCGATAGCCCAATGCCCTGAAAGAGGCTTCTCCTCGGTGGCATCGAAAAATTCGGACTGAAGTACGAGGATCGCAGCTGGGATGGTACGGACATGCTGGAGCCAGAACTGCGTAACGAGATGTTTAAGGAGGTAAAGTTTGCAGGGATTGTACCGGTTCCGGTGGCGGCAATCACGGCGGGCTCGGCCTGTTGTAGGAGCCACTCAATCGTTTCGCCATCGGACTTGTGGCCTAATTCTCTCGTTAGCTGAAAAACCCTAGCAGCGCAAAGCGCTGGCATGCGGATACGTCTCCCGCGTCCGTCAACCTTGGTGTGGCGATCTTTAGTCGAAGTTCGTTTCGGTGGCACCTTCTTGGACGGGTCAGCTGAGATTTGTAAGCTCGAAGAGGTTGATCTTGAAGGGTTTTGGCTGGTGTTATCGGCTGAGGAGATGGCTAGAGATGGGAAGGCCGCGGCGCCGGAGCTGGAGCAGGAGGCTGATTCGTCTTCTTTCTTTTCGAGTAATTGGAATGGGAAGTTTGGGCGGTGGTGGTGGTGGTGGTGGAGATGATGATCATCGCCTCCTTCCATGATCACATGAGAAGACTTCTTGACTTCTTTCTCTCCTTTTTCACTCAGTCTATCCAAGCCCTCTTTTGTTTGAGAGAAGTTCTTGATTTTTATGAGGAAAGAATATTAGCTGTAGGAAGTATTAGACTTAGACTAGGTGGTACTGGTAGATCCTCCAATTAAATTCCTTGTTGGACTTACTACTCACTTATTCACACTAAAAAAAAGAATAAACGATAGTAGTAGGGAAGTACTAATTACATATACTCTTAAAATTTTTTTTTTTCCTCTCTAAATTTCTCCCTCTTTGAATAAACTTGTTGCCTGGAATTCTCTTCACATTCTCTGATGTGTTGGTTCAACAATGGAGAGAGAAAGAGAAAGGGAAAGAGAAAGGGAGTTGGGGGGAGGATAAGGGAGCTTTAAGCAACAAAGATAATGAGTGGGAATTATATGGGGTGAGCTTTAAAAAGCAAAAAAAATTTTGACAAAGGGAAAAAAAGAAAATATGTGCTTTTTGTTGGGGTCTTTTTTATACGTCTTTCAGGCAAATTAGATTTGATTTGGAGGAGAAAATTTCAAGGAATTTGTTTCTTGACAGCACAAGGGGAGGGGAGAAGGAGAGGGAGAAGGGGATGGAAATGGAAATACCAATCAATGGAATTGGTTTGGGTTTTCTTTTGTTTTCTTTTTATTGTGGTTGGACAGAGCCTTTGGTTCAGACTCCACGTGAGGTGCTCTTTTTATCATTCAATCCATAAAGACAATGGTGGCCTGGATGGGTCCCAATCCCAAGTCAAAAAATTGAGAGACTTAGAAAGGAAAGATTTATCAAAGGCGAGGAGGGTCCCATACCATTCAAGCAATCATTTCCTTTTGCCTTTGGCCCTTTGCCTTTGTTCTGCACCTTTGCTGGGTCGGAGGGTACTTTGGGATTCCTCCTGAATTCTGCCCTTTGCTTTTTGGGCCTTCCCCTTAGCTTAGACAATTTTCAACTACTTTCTCAAACTCAATAGACTTCAGTCCCACTAGTATATACTATACCTATATATATATATCTATGAAAAAAATAACTGGTCGTGAAAAATCTGTCTCCTTGGTTTTTGCAGAATATTCAAGACTTGGGCTCTTATTTAAAATCGCATAGTTTTCAGTTAAAATTAATTCCATAAATTTTTTAGCTCGTCTGGATTGCTATTTTTTTAGTTTTATTAAAAAAAAAATGTACAGTACTGACTTAATATACGTGAGATAAAAAGATAATTAAAAATTATACTGCATCTAATCTAGTTCGTTTGCTTCTTGAACATTTACTAATAGGGACAGAGTAAAGATTAACGAATTAGGAAATGATCGAGCCTCAAAAGTCATGGTTGTGAATAGCTCAATTGGTCAGATTTCACGAGCAAATCCCAACATTCCTAGATCAAATTGAGAGTGTTATGCTCTATTCACTATTATCATTTTTGTGTTTTTCAAGGAAACTCTAGGAACTAAATGTTAGGTTCAAATAGGCAAAGCTTAAAAGAACATGGAATATACTCTCGATTAATAAGGGAGAAACATGGCAAGGACCAAAACATGATGATCAAGACCATCAAATCATTAATTAGGAAGAGATGGAGCATATGTCAAAGCCAAGGAGGAGGAAGATTCTAAACCTTGACAAATTGTGTTTTGAAAAATCAAGAAAACCAGCACGTATTAGATATAAATATATGCATAATTAGATTTGAGAGCTAGCGAGATTCGCGCGGGAGAATGACCTTACTAGAAGCCTAGCTATATATTGGTGAAGTCTTTATGATGTAGACGCTAAATAAAATACCATGATTAACTTTTTGGTGGGCTGATCTTATATATATAAGTATTATTTGCCAAGATTTGGAGGTTTATGCAGGTTTGGTCATCCTCAATTCCCTCGTATTTTTTATTTGTACACACCTTTTTGAGTAGTGATCAGTGATCATATCGATAGGATAAGAAATGGAAGTATTGAGTACTGTGTGACTGTGTGTATGACTGCAAGACTGGCAGCTGCGAAAAAAGAATTTTAAAGAAATGCATACGCAGCCATCAAAATGGTTTGTTTTTTCAACAACGTCGAGGCAATGTTGGCTTTAATACCTACATTAGTCATTAGTCGGCCACTTTCATTTAGTATATATGTTTTAATTAAACACAATTTGCGGCATCCTAATAAGGAACTAAAAAGAAGCGGTTTTTTTTTTTATAGGTGTTCAATATGCACTCGTTAATATAATTAAATTCCATTCAACCTACCATATATACATATATATACACACTAGTAATTACTACCATCTGTTACATTTGTACACTTTTTCTAATTAATTTTATCTTTTTAAAAATTTAAGACATTAAGATTAAGGAAGTGTTCGTAAATAGGTACGAGGATGAGAAATAAGTATTAAAGTTCATGACACCAATACCTAGTAATGGTTCAAACATGAACCTCGAGTAATTACTTAAAGCTTGAAGAAGTAGAAACTCACACGAAATTAATTATCTAATCAAGTCAAATCTTGAGAAATTAGTGTTTGTCATTTTTTGAGGTGGGGTATTACAGTTGTTAATCTCTTGAAGAAATCAAATGCTTGAACAGTGCTTACACCCTTGGGGGGAGCAGAGGATTAAAACTTGATTAATTAGAAGCTAAGGGGCTTAACAATTTATTCTTTAAACAAAGTTTTTTTTTTTTAACTTCACTTTTTGACACTTTTATTTTATTCTTTCTGTGTAAAGTCTTTCAAGTTTTATTTTTTGTGCAAGGGCAAAAGAATTATCTCATTTTTTCAGTAAAGAGAGCGACAGAAAATTAGTTGAGAGATCCTTCACATCTGCTTTAACAAATTGTGTCCGTCAAAGGGTTAGTATCTTATCGCCTCAAAGGGTAAAGAAAATTTACCATGAAGGATTACAAGGAGGAAAAAGCTAGCACTCAAATGCAGTAGACAATAGTGCATAAATTTATTAGCAAATTATGTATAGCTTTAAATAAAATTTTCTACCTGAGGGGTTTAGACATTTTTCACGTAATAACCAGTAGACTTTTGAATGTGTGACTCAAGCAACTTAAACTATTTATCCATCTCACAGGAGAAAATGATCAAAATTGCAAACTTGGCTAAGAAAACGAGGTAAAGAGAAAATGTTTTTTTTTTCTTTTTTTTTTTAACCTCTCCCCACTCCCCTAATCCCTCCCAACCCAAAGTTGTCAGTCAGGATTTGAACTCCACGACTAATGGTTAAAAAAAAGCCTTAAGCCTTAATTCTTAGTTATCTCTCAAATTGTTCTTTGTTGAAAATTTAGTAATCTCTTCTTCTTGATATATGGTGCCACGTGGGCAATTATCGACTAGCATAGGATGATTCTTGATCAAATGGTTGTCATAACTCATTATTGTGTTAAGGGCATTTTGAGCAACACGCAAATGAAGGATCATTTGCCAAGTTAATATCCCTCTATTTCCCAATTGAAAATGGGATTACGATGGCAGAAATAATTAAGTTACAATTAAAGCTTCTGCATATTATTTTTGATAATATAAGTGCATATATCTCAATAGACAATGATTTATGTTTTGCATATAATATAATGCTTCATTTTCATAGCTCCATTTCCCCATTTCTAGCTTCTTCCTCACCACTCTCCTCCTTTTTTCTTGTCCCCCCAACCCCCGAAAAATTAAAAAGAAAAGGGTATAAATAGTCACAAGTTCTAAGGATTTGCCCCAAAAACCCTACCTATTCATCTTTGTTGAACTTGTAGATGTTCTTGTTAATATTGCGTTGAAGCATATTAGTACACTTAATTACAAATAAAATCATCACTTTGCCCTCTATGAAGTCTAGAACACAATGAATTCTCAAGGAGTTCTTGCCTTATCTTGTCTAACCACTACTACTCCAACCCTACAAATTGATAGCAGTAATATGAGATACTTTTCAGGTTGTTAACAATTTAACCAAAATGCAATTGGTGAAAATTCAAAATTTGTTTTCCTCTTTTCATTTTCAATCTTTATTAGCACTTTCACTCGATCTTTTCATAGTGTTTCCACGAATATAATTTCCTTACTTTCAGAAATCATACTAAAAATGATTTTCTTACCTTATGTACTATCACCATATCACTCATAAGAGGAGAGGCTTACACCAATCTATGATGCCCACAAAGTTTAAGATCTTTGGTACTAGTTGGGAGCTTTCAATGGAATTCCTGTAGGGTCTTCAACTGGACACAACTGTCTAAACCAGACGTATGATAGCAAAAGAACAGATTTTGGACTCTTATGCAATAAATCTATATACAATTAATATATGTTTTCATAAGCTTGCAAAAGTTTTTACACAATAACATGTCCAGTCAACTATTGAAAATGAATTGAGCAACTATTGGGGCTGCATAAAATTTATGGGATTTCATGCATGGATTTTGTTTGAAAGGATTTTACATAGGAAATAACTTTTTGTCCATATTTGATGCATCTTGTTACAAAAACATTGAAGCAGAGGGTTGCATGGGTAAAAAATAGTTTCCTGGCCACAAAAGAACAAAAGAAAAAAAAAAAGGAGGAAAGAGAATAGAGAAATTGAGTCCTCACTTAGGATGAACTACATCTGGATGACAATTCATATCTTTTTCTGTTGGCTTTTATAATTAGGACCTCACATAGGGCGAACAACATCTAGATTAATTATTATCTCACATTTCATCACTCAACTATTTGCTTCTCTTGTAGTTAAAGTTCGGCTAATTTCCATTTTGAACTCTTAAACAATAGATTCACTTCTACTTATAGTTCTTAAACTTCATTTTCAACACTTGACCTTCTAAAATATGAAATCCATCCCAATTAAATTCTTAAATTTTGAGTTCAGTTGCCTACTTTTCTATTAGTTTTGGCAATTCTATAGAGTGGATTTCATATTTTAGAAGTGAAGTGTCCAAAATTAAAATTTAAGAACTAAAGTGGATGAATTTCAAACTTTAGGAAGTGTATATAGTATTCAAAAGTTCAAAAACTAAAGTGGCAATATATCCACAGTTTAAGGGTCCAAAGTAGAATTTACCCTTAAATTATGTTTAGGTAAACTATATGAAAATCCCCATGATCTAATAAACTTCTATGAAGTGGTGGTGGGGTTGCAAATTTGCTATGGCTGAAGAGCAAATTAAATCTTAGGGTTATAGCTAGTTTGATCATCCGGATTTAAATTATGCACGTACTCGATAACAATCAACATCAATCGCTAGGATACTTGATTTGATGACGTTCTTGTGTGGGTAGTGATGTTTTTGGTATTCAAAAATGGTGGCTGCAATCATGCTTTGCAACCCAAGAAATGCAATCAAAACCTTGCTCAATTATAGCGGGCTGTCTTTTGCATGATCAACTCAAGGAAGAGTTTACACCAACATTACTTATTGTTCCTCTATCTTTGCCAGCTCTATGTCCATTAAAACCGAGGCCACTAATTTATTACTTGTATATTACATTTATTTATTACTTCTTAATTAGGCAACATTGAACATCAATATGTCTGCCAAATCATCGTTTTTAAGTTTGGAATGCAATCAATTTCATGTTTGAAACCGGCAAAATACAATATTCCTGTTTGA